GGCTGAAGCATAGGACGCCAGAGGTGGACGACTGACAGGTAAGAGACTAGGTCACAATATGTCATGCTGACAAATCTGGGACTTAGCCTAGGGCAATAAGACACAGAAAGTTTAAGAAGAATTAACACAATCCATTATTTCTTTCATAACCATCTCTCTAAAGCAGTATGGTACATGAATCAGAAGGGATTACAAGTTTAAAGCAGAAAGCCCAATTAGGAGGCCATAATCAGTTGGTTAATTATAGGACTCAGCTAAGTTCAATATGTGTTAAAAGTCAGAGTCTGCCCATTCTAAACTGAATCTCAGAACCTGCCTTTTATAGTACTGTTTCCATGCAAAATATGTTCTCAGCTCCAATTGCTGATTCCAAGAATATGTCTCACACAGTATAAGTAATCAAAGTCCCCTTTCCTCCAACTTTTCACCAATGCATAACAGGTGCTCCTTTGCAGCATCAGTAAGATTCTTGGGGAGACTTCTAGAGTGTGAGTCAGGGGGGAAGGTAGGAAAAAGAATAGCACTTTTAGTGTTGTTTAGTGTACATGATCTTTTGGGAAATGACAAAGGGGAGAGAGCTTCCAAAGGGTGGCCAAAAAGACTGGAAACTTTGTAGAAGGAGCAGGGGCTCCAGTAGATGGCAGCAGCAGCTCCACCTGCCCTAAGAAGCTGCAAAGGAATCAGAGGGGAAACAGGTTCCCCTCTCCCTGCCCAACCTATTTGTATATCTAGGTGAAGACATTTTTAAACCAAATGATGTCCATAAAGCATATAAAACCTATAAACATCCTTTCTTTTTTTTAAAAATTTCTTTATTGATTAAGGTATCACATATTTGTCCTCATCCCCCATTACTATCCCAAAACCCTCTCCTCGCATGCCTCCACCCCTCTATTATCGGTGACCACTGGTTAGGCTTATATGCATGCATACAAGTCCTTTGGTTGATCTCTCCTCCTTGCCCCCACCCTCTTCTACCTTCCCTCCCTTTCTTTTCTACCTGCCTGAAATACATAAAATAGGAGCTCAGAACACAGCTTAAAATAATCTCCTGAAAACAGAGTAACTTGGACCCAAAAGTTCATTTAATTATCATCTTCCAAGTACCATGCCAGTGCATAATTAAACATTCCTCACATATCTTCCCTGGGGAATTAAAATTCATTATTGGTACCAGTGGAGGCTAGAAGTATAGATGGAACAGTGGCAGACTGTCTCCACAAACTCTGGAAGGATGAGCAGGGAATGAAAACTCACATGCAAGATAATGGAAGGAAAAGCAGCCAGGATAGCTCGGACTGGTTTGGCTCAGTGGATAGAGTGTCAGCCTGCAGACTGAAGAGTCTCAGGTTCGATTCCAGGCAAGAGCATGTACCTTGGAGAGGATCCAAGATGGAAGCTTAGGTAAACACACCTACACTGCTGCCCTGCACAACAATTTCAAAACTACAACTAAAAGACAAAATGTCTATCACCCAGAACCATAGGAAAGCTGGCTGAATGGAAGTAGACTGAAAGAAAAAGGAGCATTCAGGGCACAAGCGCTGAACAAACTACTCAGGTACGGGGTTGCGCGTGCGATACAGGCTGGTGGCGGATCCCGAATGGCGTTGCTTTCAACCTGAAGAGAGACAAGCTCCTGATCTCTCTGAAATTCAGTTTCTGGGGAAAAGCTGGATTGTCTGCCATCGGGTCAAAAAGTGAGGGTGGCTTGCTTACAGAGCTGCACGCAAGAATAATTGTTTGCTGTGCTGGGCACGAGATGCGGGGATGTGGTTGAAGAGGCAGAGACAACTCACTGGCAGCCATCACTGTTTGCCACGCCCTGGCCTAGTGATGTCCTGAGACTGCACCCCGCACAATCTACAAACACACCCAAGCTCCAAGCAGCGGCTTTTGCATATGAATGGCCTTCTCTATTGCAGTTTACCCTAGCAAACTTGCAACCTAGTGCAGACAGCTCTAAAGCCCCAAGCTCTAAGCAGGGAGGAGAGGACTGTGGTTCTCGCTGTAGCTCCTGCAGGGTGGCCTCAGGAAGTAGCTGAACTGCACCCATTTGGAGATCCAGAAGCCAGTGTACCTAGTAGTCAGTGTGAGACACCAGATTTCAACTCCTCACATCCATAAGTGACACATTCGGGAGGTGGGCTCAGTGAGCACCAAAGCCCCACTGAAACAAGGCCTGTACCATAAGCATGTCTCCAGCGCAGCAGTTCTTCCATTATAGACACAGCGGGTCCTCACAGCCAATTGGCCTGGAGGTCAATTCCTCCCAGTGTACCAACAGCAATCACGGCTTAACTACACCAAGACTTTGCACTCAGCCCACAAAGGGGTGTACCAAGAGCGACCAACTTGGGTGATTGGGGAAGCTGAGCTACTGGCCCCTATAGGTCACCTACCACACAAAGCCACTCCATCAACACAGGGAGGCAGCCAAAATGCGGAGACACAGAAGCATGTCACGAATGGGAGAGATGGAGGAAAGTAAACTACTGGATGACACAGAGTTCAGAACCACATTTATAAGGTTACTCAAGAATCTTCTAAAAACTGCTGAGAAACTTGAAGAGAACTTCAAGGACCTTAATGAGAATACAAGAAAAAAAAAAAAAAAAAAAAAAAAAAAAAAAGGAAAAGGACCAGTCAGAAATTAAGCATACAATCTCTGAAATAAAGAATATACGGAAACTCAACTGTAGATCAATGTACCCCAAGAGTCAAACCAAATATCTGGAATATGAGGAAGCAATAAACACCCAACCAGAGAGGCAGAAAGAAAGAAAGAAGAATCCAAAAGTGTGAGGATAGTGTAAGGAGCCTCTGGGACAGCTTTAAGCATACGAACATCTGGATTTTTGGGGTGCCAGAAGAAGAGAGAGAGCAGGATACTGAAGGCCTGTTGAAATAAATAATGACAGAAAACTTTTCCTACCTGGTGAAAGAAATAGACTTTCAAGTCCAGGAAGCTCACAGAACCCCAAACAAGAGGAATCCAAAGAGGACCACACCAAGACACATCATAATTAAAATGCTAAGGGCAAAAGACAGAGAGAGAATCTTTTACAGGTAGCAAGAGAAAAACAGTTAGTTAATCTACGAGGGAGTACCCATACGACTGTCAGCTGATTTCTCAACAGAAACTATGCAGGCCAGATGGGAGTGGCAAGAAATATTCCAAGTGATGAACAGCAAGAACCTACAACCAAAATTACTCTACCCAGCAAAGCTATCATTCAGAATTGAAGGTCAGATAAAGAGTTTCACTGACAAGAAAAAGCTAAAGGAGTTCACCACCACCAAACCAGGATTACATGAAATGCTGAAGAGTATTCTTTAAGAAGAGGAAGAAGAAGAAAAAGGTAAAGGTAAAAACTATGAACAACAAAAAGACATCAAATACATACCTACAGCAAGTGAATCTAAAAATCAAGTGAATAAAAAAATCTGAAGGACAGAATGGACTGGTGAATATAAAAGAATCAGGGACATAGAAAGGGAGTGGACTAACAATTCTCAGGGGAAAGGCGATCAGAGGGGTGTGAGAAGAGATTGGACAAAAATCTTACACCTGTGGATGAAGACACCGGCGGGGGGTGAGGGCATGGGGTGGAGTAGGGAATCAGGTGGAGAGGAGTTATGAGGGAGGGAAGGGGAGAGAAACACCTATAATAATCTTAACAATAAAAGATTTATTATATTGCCGAAACCGGTTTGGCTCAGTGGTAGAGCATCGGTCAGCGGACTGAAAGGTCCCAGGTTCGACTCCGGTCAAGGGCATGTACATTGGTTGCGGGCACATCCCTGGTAGGGGGTGTGCAAGAGGCAGCTGGTCGGCGTTTCTCTCTCATCGATGTTTCTAGCTCTCTATCTCTCTCCCTTCCTCCTCTCTGTAAAATATCAATAAAATATATATATATTTTTTAAAAAAATATTTATTATATTATATTAAAAAAAAAAAAAAAAAAGCATGTATCTTGATTGTGGGCACATCCCTGGTGGGGATGTGCAAGAGGCAGCTGATTGATGTTTCTCTCTCTCATTGATGTTTCTAACTCTCTGTCCCTCTCCCTTCCTCTCTGCAAAAAAATCAATATGTTAAAAAAAAAAAAAAAAAAAAAAAAAAAGCAGCCAGGGCAGAGATCTGGCACACTGTTAAGAGGAAAGACAACATATTTCAGAGAGCTGTCTGATTTTAATTCATCTCTTTATGCTATTGCTGTTTTAATCTTTAAAGAAGACAAGGCCTAAGTATTTTGGGTTGTCAAGGGAAATTACGGTTTAAGTTTCCAGACTCTCCAAAATTTTGGTGCTATGCTTTTTAAACTAATTTACTAGTGTTAACAGTCTATTTCCTAAGCATATAATAAATACGCGTTTCATTCCTGGCCATGAAGTAAAGGATATATATAATTTGGGCTAGGATAACAGAGGAAACCAGCAGTGACTATGGAAAAAGAGAGGACTGGGAACAAGTAAGCAAGATGAGGTTCAGAATCTGGGATGCTTGGGTACAAAGAGGAGCCCTGAAGGAAGCTCAGCTGACCATCGCCTTCTGCACTGTCATACAAATCTGATGGAGAACATGGCAACCAAAGAGTGAAATTCCTCTCACTTAGATTTACCAACTAGCAAGTTCAGAGACTATTTCTGATCCAGAAAATGCTGACTGCTTTAACACAACCAGGGTATGAATTTAACACTGTGTAAAACCAGGTTAAATGTGTTTGTATAAAGTTTATTTTTTGATAGTTAAAAAATATAGCAATAAGCAGTATAACTCAGATTTAAATGGATTAGGGCTTTCACTCTTCTTTCGACTTCATTATGGAATCTATGACAAAAAGGGAAGGAGATATTTCTTGAGAGCTAAAGTTGTGTTTTTAGGGAGAATCAAGTATTCTTATAAGTGACTGGCTTCCTATAGATGCCCCAATGCCACCTATAAAGACCCTTCTGTTCAGGTACAGAGTGTGCATACATGCACTTCTAATCCTTACCTGTGTCTCCTGACGGAAACTGGTTTCTTCACTCTCTTTCTCAATTTCTTCTTTACTTGGAGTCTTAGATATAAACTTGTTTTTGCTTACAGATTCTTCTACCAGCTTTTTTTCTGATTCTTTCATTATTTCCAAGGTCTCTTGAGTAGTGTTACTATTAGACATCTTCTTCAATAAAATACAGTAGGCTCTATGGACTCCTAAAGAAACATCAAATGCGTTAAATAGGAGGTGTGTATTCATACTTAACACACCACACAAGACTTGTATTGCACATATAAGTATTCAGCAGCTTCCCTACAACCCAGAAAAAGGTCCTCTGAGAAACATTATCTTTGGATCTATTTTCCTCTTTTTGTTGTTGTTTTGTTAATCCTCACCTGAGTATATTTTTCCATTAATTTTTAGAGAGAATAGGAGAGGGAAAGACACAGAGAAACATCGATGTGAGAGAGACACATCAATTGGTTACTTCATGCATACACCCTGACTAGAGCCAGGGAACCTGCAACCAAGGTACATGCCCTTGACTGGAATAGAACCAGGGACCCTTCAGTCTGTGGGCTGACACTATCCACTGAGCCAAACCAGCTAGGGCTATTTATTTTCTTTAAAAAAAAATCTTTATCCAAGTAAAACTTTATACAATAAAGTGCATATATTTAAAATGTAGTTTAATCAGTTACAATGGTTTCACATGCATTTATCACATGCATCACCACAGTCAAAATAATAAGTACATTTATCACCCCAAACTTTGCCCCTTCTCCTTGGTAAGCCCTTCCTCCCTTTCTCACCTTTCCCAGCCAACCATTCATCTGCTGTCACTATACATTCATCTCCATTTTCTAGAATTTTAGTCATACATTATCTGGATTCTTTTACTTAGCATAATTATTATTTAAAAAATATATATATATTTTATTGATTTTTCACAGAGAGGAAGAGAGAGGGATAGAGAGCTAGAAACATCGATGAGAGAGAATCATCGATCAGCTGCCTCCTGCACCCCCCCCACTGGGGATGTGCCCTTGACCGGAATTGAACCCGGGACCTTTTAATTCACAGGCCAACACTCTATCCACTGAGCCAAACCGGTCCCGGCATCAGCATAATTATTTTGAGAGTCACCAGGATTTGGTTCTAAAGCAATGTAGTATGAATCCTCTTGGCACCTATTTCCCTCCCTTGTTCCCTACGGCAATCTGCACATATTTTTAGCTCGAGTACTTCAAAGAGTTAACTCTCTAGACTCTCCAGAAAGAAAAATCTATAAAAAATAAAAGCATAATATGCTAATTAGACCTGACAACCTTCCCCATGAAGCTGGGGCTGCAAGAGAAGTCGGGGTCCTGGCTGCCAGAGGAAAGCTGGTGCTGGCAGCCGGGGGAAGGAAGGCCTACTCTTGCAAGAATTTTGTGCATCAGGCCTCTGGTATATTACAAAGCTCTGTTCACTAACACAGAGGACCAATCTCCTTTCCTAAGAGAGAAATTCTACAACTGTCACAAACCACAACATTATTACCAACTTCAAGCCTCTCCCCCATCAAAAAACAGCAGAATCAAAAAATGGTTATAATCTTAATTTTTCCCCCTTTTCCTTAAGCAAGCTGAAAAAGCAAGAAGAGTACTCCAGTGATATGTCCTTAAGAAAGACTGGGTCTCTCCCTGGAGGAAGAGAGAATCTTTTCTTTGCTATTCACTATGTGTTCAGTCATTCTACTGCATTCCAGGGATACAGAGTATCTGTAGTGCAGGGAGAATCAAGTGTTCTTATAAGTGACTGGCAGGGGTGGTCGGCTCTTTATCACTTACTATTGCTACCTGGGAAGTCCTGTAATGAAGTCAACACAGTTCTCCAAGTATACATTTAGAAGCAGAAGTAATGCTCTACACAGATTCATGTCCTCAACCACTGAAGTCATCATGTTTAGCTCCAACAATGGTTTGCAGAGATTTCTCCTTACATGGCTAAAATGATTGTATTTTAATCCTAAATACTTTCCCTCCTTTAAAAATAGACTGAAAACTCTCCCAAATGTCATATCTATTCCAAGTAGCCCTAGAAATGAGCTAAACAAACAAACAAACAATCAGCAATGCTTAAAAAAAACCCACACCTTTCACACTAGACATTTTTTCCTTTTTCAAATCAGTTTAATGGTTAAGACCCAGAGACTCTTAAGAAGCACAGGTAAGTTCATCCTGGCATATGTTAAGATAGTCTGCAGGATCATTGCTTTGTTTACCTTGTGGCAGCTCTTGAGCAGCTGTCTGGAAACTTAGTTTGCATAGTGCTAAATAAATTCCCTTTAAAAGGCCAGAAAGTCATTCATACAATCGTAGTCATACATCTGAATTTAAAGATGAGAAGTATGGAAAGAAACTGACTACAAAAGAAAATGGCCAATATTCTATTTTTTAATTAATTGATTCAGTGCCTAGAGGCTTCTATAAAAAGAGTTATAACCTACATCAGAGCTTTATGGATCATAGGTCATACATAAGAAGTGCATATACACATGTATTTATCCACCTCCCCTCTACATGGGTAAATCAAGCCTCCATTCTCTTCAGTTTGAAATATAGTAAAACTTAGTGCATGCCCTGAGTGCCTTAGCTGGAAAACATCAATAAAGACCAGAATTGGAAAAGTTCTTAGATGTCACCTCATGCAATCCCATCCCCTCCCCCCCCCCTCGCCACCATGCTCCCAAAGAAGAGCTCCTGGAAAACTCCTGAGACATAATTTCACTATTTCTTGAACAGTTTTAACTGTTATATAGTTGCACTTTATTCCAGGCTACAAACTGCTTCAATATTTACTTTAAAACTGCCTTAGGATCACACAAAAGTAGGTTTACTTCTTTTTCACATGATAGAACAACATTTTTCTTTTTTTAGGCTTAAATAGACACATATAGATTTCTCTGTCAGAAAGAGAAGTTAAGGGATGGGGAGGTGGGGGAATTGGATGAAAGTGGTCAAAAGGTACAAACTTCCAGTTATAAGATAAAGAAACACTAGGTATATAATGTACAGCATAATGACTATAGTTAACATTACTGTATGGTAGATCTTAAAAGTTTTCACTATATGGAAAAAACACTTTTTGGTAACTATATGTATGTCAAGTCATTATATGGTACACCTTAAACTTACCAGAGCTGTATATCAATTATAATAAATAGCAATAAAACTGGAGAGAGGGGGGGGGCGGTAATATGGAAAATACAAAGTAGCTGGTTGTTTCTTTTTCCAGGATGGGCCTCAATTATCAAATAGGTATATTTCTTTAAATCGACAACTTTGCCGCTACTCTTTACATGTCAGTCAGAAAAGGCTCAACTATCCGAATACTTGGACTAACTTCACGATGTCTCAGCACTAAGGAAAAAAACCCCAATTAAACAAAAAAATGATTTTTTCATAACAGTCCATATTGGAATAGGGTCACATATTCCAACTCAAGTTTTAAGGAGCCACATGGTTTCCAGGTTTCTTTCATTTATTGAGAAACAGAAAAACTTGCGCTTTAGGTACTTTACCACCACCATAAAACAGACAGTGATTAATGAGCCTATTTTTAATAATTTTGAGTCCTCTCAACTGAGATCACTGGCCTCTTGTAGAGCTGTGAAAAACAAAGTAATTCTTACTCTGATGAAAAAAGGTACAGTAGCACACTATACTTGCTACCTACTTAAATCAACCCTTTCTACACTCAACCTTCCCCAGACTTTCTTCTGGTCTCTGCCTTCCTCTAAGGACACATCATCAGGGAAGATAATCATATTCCTGAGACCTAGGAGGTGGATTTTAATTAATGGGACCAATTGTGGTAATTCCTTTTCCTTTTTCCTGTTTTGGGAAGGAACAAGTGACTCATCAACAGTGAGACATGAAAGGATTTTGCTGGGTGGGTGTCTTCAAAGAACAGCTTCCTACTATATATTTTTTTTCTTTTTTTAAAGAACACTATAAAAAAGGTAGTTATCTTCTGCTGAAGGCTGTCTTATATGCAGATGATGTCTGGACTGTGGTAACATTCTACTGACACATGGAAGATGGTAGAGCAGAGAGAATAAGTCAGGATTATTATTATTTTTTAAAATACATTTTATTGATTTTTTACAGAGAGGAAGAGAGAGGGATAAAGAGTTATAAACATCGACCAGCTGCCTCCTGCACAAACACTACTGGGATGTGCCTGCAACCAAGGTACAAGCCCTTGACCGGAATTGAACCTGGGACCGTTCAGTCCGCAGGCCCACGCTCTAAGCCAAACCGGCTTCTGCAAGTCTGGATTCTTGATGCTGTGGTGCAGAGGAGACATTGAATTAGTCAATTCTAGATGTGTGAGGTCACAAATCCTCTTATCATTTAAGCTATTTTGAGTTGAGTTTACTGTTCCTTCTACCATAGCTAAAAGCACCTGAAATAGGTGTGGCTTGATTGACTGGAATGTCTTCCTGTATACTGAAAAGGTTTGGGGTCCAATTCCCACTCAGGACACATAATCTAAGTTGTGGGTTTGATCCCCAGTTGGGGTGCATGTGAAAGGTAACCTATTGATATTTTTCTCTCACATCAATGTTTCTCTCTCTAAAAAAAATCAATAAACATCCTCAGGTGAGGATTAAAAAAAAGAGAGACGGGGGATAAGTATCTGGACCAGACAGAGAAGCTTAGCTCCACATACAGAAAAGACTGACAGGGACAGAGATAATAATAATCAGCTAAAATTTTTGGAATGTTTACATTGTGCTAGGCACTATTCTAAAGTGCTTTACGTATCTCATTTAATCTTATAACAATCCTATGAGATAAATATTATCATAACTCTTTTACAGATAAATAAACTGAGTCACAGAAAAGTTAAATAATTTGCTAAAGGGCATACAACTGGTACAAGGAAGAACTAGGACTCAAAGTAAGGAAATACAGCTCTAGTGCTTTCTTTCTTTCTTATTTTTTAAAAAAAATATTTTATTGATTTTTTACAGAGAGGAAGGGAAAGAGATAGAGAGCTAGAAATGTCAATGAGAGAAACATCAACCAGCTGCCTCTTGCACACCCGCTACCAAGGATGTGCCCACAACCAATGTACATGCCCTTGACCGGAATCGAACCTGGGACCTTTCAGTCCGCAGACCAAAGCTCTACCACTGAGCCAAACCGGTTTCGGTTCTTTCTTT